TAGTCAAGCTTGCATCTCTAAATGGATATCAGTCAAGAAAGATGACTCAAAAAGAACACATAAAAGATGGCTAAAAGATAAAAACTGGTCATTATGGGTACGAATAGTAGAGCTGATTAAAAAGAAAAATTTAGATCTAAAGCTTACCAAGGTCAAGACACATTCCAATGATCCCTATAATTATGAAGCAGATGCTTTAACCAAAGGAGCCCTAAACTTGCCTGCAATAGAATGAAAGAATCTCACTTCCTACAAAATCCCTAAAGAAATCAAGTGAAAAGATAAGATACTAGATGATCTCATAAGACAATTTATCAAAAAGATAAATAGCAAGACTACGGTATATCTATGGACAGCACAGAATAGAACCAAAAAGAAATGAAGTCATCAGATTAAAAAACAACAAGAATATACTTGGAATCTAGTATGGGAAAGAATGAATGGGTATACATAGGACACATCTTTCAAAGACTTACAGAGAAAGAGCTTTCTCATTAAATTAACAAGCGATGAGCTATCAACTCTGAGTAAGCTGGTAATAAGAAGGCCAGATCTGTATAAGCAAGTGAAATGTATTGCATGTGGTCTCCATAAAGAAGAAACAATCGATCACTTGCTAGAATGTCAAGCTTACAAGGAACAAATGCAAGAAGTATGGAACAAAGGTCTCGAAGGGATTCTGAAGAACTTTAAAAAACTTCTACAAGAAAGGAAAAGGAAGTGGTTGAGAAGAATGTGAGACTAATAATAGAGGATAGAGAAGCATTAGAAGAAATAGATAAATGAATATCCAGGCTGGTGAAATAAGCTTCGACAACTAGCCAAGATACATTAAGCTTCTTTGCAGGATTAATAAGAAGCAACCTTGTTTTCGAGATGGCGGATCTTAGATGCCATGGCAAAAGAATCAGAAAAAAAGCAAGAAAATGGATAAAGAAGATGCAGAGTATAGTATGTAACCAATTCTGTAAGAAGGTTTGGAATGCAAGATGTGAAAAAATCATAGAATGGGAAAGAACACAGGGGATCCAAAGAAATGATAAGATAAAAAGATCTCCAAGCCTTCCTGGTCCAAAACCTAAAACTGTATCACCAGAAAGAAGAGGTGCTCCATTAATAGAAGAAGGAAAATGAGAAGATCAAGGTCTCACAGATATCTTATCAAAAGGGATTAGATTCGGAATAAAATGGTTGGGTTTTAAGTTCTGTCAGAACTGCAAAGAGTGATTTGCAGTAGTGACCTATAGGCAATGATATTAAAAGTTGGAAGAATCTTCACTTGAACTTTTAATGAAGTGAAAAATCACTTCCAAAGCTGCACTTAGAGTAATTACTAAGATAAGTGAACTAGTTAAAGTTTTAGCTTTAGTGATTCATATTATATGTACAGTTTACAATTGTTTAATAAAGCATACATAACTAGCCTGACAGAGGGTTTTAAAAAAAAAAAAATTAATGTATACTGAAAGACTTTCAAGTTATTTATGTAGATATCAATATATAACCTGGACTTTCCTGATTACTCCTTTCCTACAAGCCTTAAAATTGTAAAGTTCTCCTAGATCGTTTTTACCTTATTTCCATAAAGACTTAATAGAAGTTTTTTTCCAGATCTCTTTATAGGAAAAACTAGAACAAAACAGATATAAATCTATAAATAGAATTGATATTCTCTCAGAAATGCATAGGACTGTTTAATTTTATTTTTTATTTTTTTTTTATTTTCACTTTTATAACATCAGTATACTTTAGGAATATTGATTTTTCTTTGATAAAAGAAAGGACAATAAGCTATGAAGTAGCTTTAGAAATAGCTTTAGCTTATTATTATCTTTATCGACCCTAAATATATACTTATGCACCCATGCTCTATGCAATATATACATGTAATTTGGAAATCAATAAATTTAGGTATGAGTCCATTAAAAAAAAAATCACTTTTATTAAAAAGCTAATTATTTTCAGGTAATATAAAATTTAAGTAAATATGTAATAATAACAAATATAATCTATTATTAATATTAAGGATTTTTATATCAGATAAAAATAAGTTGATATATAAAATTCAAAGTAAAAAATATTATCAGCTTTTCTTTAGGAATGATAATGAAATAAAGTTTAAAATACTATACTTCTATTTTTAAAAGTTGCTTTTGAAATCTAATTTGCAATTGGTTCTTTTTAGAATCTATTAAATTAATTGAAATATAATATTTTTTATATTCTTTAACATAAATATTCAAAGGAATTCTTAAATTATATTGTTTACAAAATTCTATTTATTTAGTATACCATTGATTAAATTGTTTTTGAGTTCAAGATTTTTTCATTTTATATCTTGTTATACCTAAAAATTTCTCATTATTAGAAGTACTATCATCTCTCATTGCATTTCAAGCTTGAGTTGCTAATGATTTGAATCTATTTTTATAATTTCTTCAAGCTCTTTATATAATCCTTGCTTTTTCAAAATCAGTTTTGGTTTATTACACTCGTGATTCCAATGTTCCTCTATCAGGTCTTTAGATTCGAGACAATCAATATTTCTCTAATAAAATGAAATGATTTTATAGGATTTATATTATTGATTTTTTGAGTTTTTAGCAACCAAAACAAATAGCAATATGACTTTTGTGAATTTTCGACCTATAATAATTAAAATTGATAAATTTAAAATAATGTAAATAAACATAGTCGATGATATACACTAAATTTTTCAATATTTAATAAATTCTGTAAAGGTATTCTGATCCATATTGCCCATTAAACTGATGTTTCATTCTTCTTTATGATAGATATGATCATTCATTTTCCAAGTAATTTCTAATATATGACATGACATATTTCATATCGTATCTAGGACAAATGTTAAAGAGTTTGGATAATGTTCTATTTTTTTTATCGAGAATAGTTGTAACATCAAAACCAGACATATTTATCACTGATAGAGAATAATATATCCTGTCCACTCACAAGTTGTTTATTATATGTTATCTAACCTTTTCTGGCCTTGAGCAGTTACCGCGAAAAGGTGGGGGATTTGGTACAATATATATGATTAAAACCAGATTTATTTTTAGTATAGATGCTCGAAAAGCACTCCATAGGGCCTGGTTATTAGATGTGTTGTGTATAATCGTCATATTTTGCGAGGGTGTATATTGGGTTGTAGTGAGAATTGTAGACCAGAAGAGTCATGATTCGAAGAATTGCCTAATGGCCTGCTTTGCAATAGTTTAGAGTGATTCTAAAGAATTTATTTGTGATGATATTTATGTATAATCGTCTGTGTATATAATATGATAATACTATGAATCAAAACTAGTTTCGGACTTAAAATTATTAATTAAACGCATCAATCACGTATTACTAAAAATTTCGACGATTAAATTTGTTTTATTGAATAGCGTGAGCTAGCACATTCGTACTAAAAGTAAAAAAATATATAACAAGTAGGAATTTAGACGTGACATGGCTTAGGCTTCAACATGCTGTCAAGCAGATTTTCGATAATGGTTCTCAAGAATTTCCATCCTTAGCTGAAGCACAATGCATAACTGGAATTGGAAAGTCAAATATTGAAAAAGTTCGCAAAGGATGTAAAGCTCGTGCTGTGAATATCATTGGGAGTATGTTGTACAATAAACATTGAGATATATTCAAATGTTTTCCAGCTCAATTGCATTATAAATATCTTTTTTAAATCCCTTAAAGCCAGTACTCCACGAGAGACACGTTGAGTTCAATGCTAGTAATCCCGTTTATAAATTTTAGTCCATAAAAAATAGCCATATTGGGTCATATGGAACTCGTGACATTTTGAATAAAGGAGTAACTGTCTGGTCTCAAGAGTCGATTGATATAAAGATCGCTTTATGTATAAACAGTCATTGTTTTATTGATGATAAAATAAGGCAGACATTACTATTGTAAATTGACCGACTCTAATGGAGTAACATCTTTATTTGGGGAGAATCTGGAAGTTTGCGCACAAAACTCATCTGTGCGGGTGGTGTGAATTGGCTACTTCGATATTTGAAATTTTCTGCAATTTTCTCGATACGCTCCTAACATTTAAAGAGAAATTAAATTGAGTAAAATTTTTATTATAAATAAGCTCGAAGAAAACATATATACCTCCAAAGCCACTAAATGACCGATTGCAGACTCTGCTAATGGAAGTGTAGTCTTGTCAATCACAAGTCTTGTGGTAAGAAACGGCCAAGAACGGTATATACCATCGTATTGTAAATCCATGAAGAATGATTCCATTAAATCGCCTGGTTATCACAGAAAATCATTCAATGTATCACAAAAAAAAAAACAAACTTTTGCGCAATCACATCCATTATAAGCATAAATACCCATATTTAGAAATATACCAGCTTCACCTGGTCCTCCCTTAGTTTCCAGTTGCTGATTGATTGATTTTCGAGCAGTTAGTTGTACTTTTAGGCTATCATTCATCCGTTGCAAGGGTGTGTATCCTAGTGGTTTGATCTCCGAGTTTAAAATTGATACATCGTTTACTGTGCAGGAAATATCTGGTCTTTTTTTCGTGCCCTTATTAGCACGGTTTAATCTAAGCTCGTATTCTTTCTCAGACCCAGTAAATAACGGTCGACTGATTGGATAAAGGAACATATAACAATGTTCTTCTTCAGATAATTTCGATGGAGCAACTTTCGGAACACACTTAGACCTGTAATAAACATTATGTAAGCAATCAATTTAAGAATTAAGAATTATATATTATAGAACAAATAAACTTACAAATCATTAAATGCGCACGTGACCGCTCTATTTAAATCCGAATTTCCACAATTCATAAAAATATCATTACTAACCAAATGCATACGAGTTGCATTGTAAAGAGAAGATGAAATCTCAGACGGAAGTGGTGGTTCCTTTATAACATAAGGATTGGTGTTTGTTATTTCTTTCCACTCTCGGTTTGTAAACATGGGGTATGGACACGGCCAACAAAGCACCATGATTGACGATAAGGCTCTAAATGCAGGAGGAAAAAGATGCTCAATACATCTTGATATGATCATTTGTGCCATCATGTTTCAGAATACTTACAAAACTTCGTAAATATTTTCATATTTTAAACCATCTTTCTCCGCTTTCTGAATCACCTCTTTCTGATACTGCCGAAATCTATCGGTTACATTAATACAACCAACTTTCCACTAGGAAACAGAAGAAAACTGTGAGATACACAGAATAAAGGAATTAATATTTGCCATGTGACATACTTTAACTCTCGGTTCTCGTTGCAATTCCATAGAAATGCTTGTTAGATCAATTTTAATTTCTTCGTCGTCCTTGAACTCTTCAATGCCTACATCATCAGGTTCAGAAATGGTAGATGTTTGTTTTACGTTTATAGAGGGAAGAAGTTCAGAGGAGGACTTCGTTGCGTTAAACTTTTCATCCAATTTCGTCTAAATCACAGAACACGCCAATAAGTTATTTTGTTGCTTAAAGCCATTATTAATATGCTTTGAAGAGCTACTCGGCCTCACCTTTTTCGTTGGTATTGCTGATGTTTCTTCTTTAATGATGGGTTGTTCATGATTTTTATAATCTCGTTTGTATCCTTGAATGATATTACCAGTACCACCGAACTGTACTCCATCACAAGATAGATCACAAGATAAAAATAAATTTTCTGCATTTATATTTTCTTTCCCCTTAGACTTCAACCCACGTAAAGACTTCAACCAAAATTTGTCGATTTGTCCCTCTTTTCTAGATTCGACCTTACAAAAAGAAAATTTATATATTAGCGTATCAAACTAAAAATTAGTAGTCACAGGCTGGCTATAGCGGAGACGTAGTCCATAACCATGCGAAGACGTAGTTCCATGGGTAGCTGTAGCCAACAGCGGAGACGTGGTCCTTAACCATGCGAAGACGTAGTTCCATGGGTAGCTGTAGTAGCGGAGACGTAGTCCATAACCATGCGAAGACGTAGTTCCATGGGTAGCTACTGAATGTGACTTACTAATCTTTAGTTATATAGTTTATGAAAATATACTGACCCTGAATTGATTTTCGAGACGTATCGCATTCTTCTTTTCCTCTTCCGTACCATGTTCCTTTATCTTCTGCATTTGTTTGTTAAAACTTCTCGATAAAATCGCTTTATCCAAACCTAAACTGCTCTCTTTCCATGATTCATGGTACTGAACCGCGTCCCAATCTTGACAGGGAGTGCTCAGGAAATATTCAAATCCAGGTCCAGGTGAGTTGATGTCACATAACATGGTTTGTCGAAGGTTGGATGTTTACGCTAGAAATAATACTGTACGCGGTACGCGATTAGACATTTAGTCGAATGTAGATCCTGATCTGGGCCAATCACAATTTAGAATACTAAGAGTGAATGATCGCTTAGGGGATTAACGCATTGACCCACAAATGATTATGAAGTTTAAAATAAGTTAGTATTTTTATGAACATAATGTCCAAAATGTTTATTAAAACGGATTTCTAGTCTATGAGGTAAAAATTAGGTTACACGAAGACATGTGCTGAAAATCAATAGCGGAGCCTTTAGTAAAACTAAAGATATAAAACCTCGGATGCGGATCATCTATTCCCTAAATAAGGTTTTATCCTATTAATATGCGCTGATTGAATAAAGACGATCCGATTTTGTATAAGTTGCACCGGTATTTAAATCATAATAATATCTTTCTTCATCGTCATCGGAAAAACCACAGAACCTATCATCACCCTTAAAATGCATTAGCAACTTCCTCACTCTGTGAATCATCTTCGTCGTTATCGTAGACATCTTTAAAATCGCATTCATAGCCGGAATCTCGATCATTACTTACATTCAACCTCTGGTAATGATTTAGATGTAATGGTATTTTTATTATATAAAACTTCACTTGTTTCATCAACATCAGAAGAATTATCGGTGAATTCTATATCAGGCTTCTTGGCGAA